AGCACTGGTGTCCCCCCTGGCTGGGGACAGCTCAGACGTGGGGCTGCCCCATGAGGATGAGGCCACTTGCTCAGAAGACCCCAAGGAGAGACCTGCATCCGCAGTTCCCCCCACCCCAACCTCCTGCAGCAGCGCATGCGCTCTGCAGCGCTGAACATGCCTTGCCTGCTTTGAAGCCGCTAATTAAACCTAACGATGCAGAGCCGCTAGGAAGACTGAAATAAACCTGTGGGGAAGGAAAGCAGCCTTGGAGCAAACCCTCCCTCCCAGGTTTGGCCCTGGAAACAGATCTGAGGCCAGACCTGAGCTCGCCAGGAGACCTCTCCTGCTTTCCCTGGGGCTACGGGACATGGCTCAGCCTCGCCAGCAGCACTGGCCACTCCACGCTCGTCTCAAGCACTGGGGCAGAGTTTTGGCCACCTTGCAAAGAACACCAAGGTCTGCCGAAATGATCCCTGCCAGGCTGTTCCTGCAACACACGCTCCCTCAAGGGCAGCCAAGAAAAATGTGGGTCTTGGCGCTGCAGGATGCGCTCACAGCTTCAGCGAATGCCTCCTCCCTCCAGGCCTGGGCTCTGGGGTTTATCACAAGGCTGAGAAGTGGCCCTTGTAGGAACGGGCACACCTCACCCCTACCAGGCTGGCACCCCTGCATCTGATCTCGCCGTCCCCAGTTGTGCCCCCCACCCTTGGCAGCCGCGGGGCCGCGGTCCTTACCGTTGTCACAGCGCCAGTTGATGTTTATGCAGCGCCCGTTGTTGCAGGTGAACTGGGTCAGGGGGAAGCAGGTCGGGTAGGCTGCGGAGGAGGCAGAGGCACCATCAGCTTGGAAGAGACACCCTGTACCCGCAATCCTCACGCCTGGCCCCACCAGTGTCTCTGCCCCGCGGTGGGGTGAGGAGCAGCGCTCCCCAAAAGGGCCCTGTGCTCCCGGTGCCCCCAGCCCCAGCTCACCGCATGAGGCAGACTCATCCGAGCGGTCCCCGCAGTCATCGTCCAGGTCACACGTCCAGGAGATGGGGATGCAGCGCCCACTGGCACAGGAGAACTGGTTGGGGGAGCAGGTCCGAGCTGGCCCAGGGAGAGACCGACAGAACTTTAGTAGCTGGCAGTGGCTGGCTTTGCCAGGGGAAAGGTGGAGAACAAACCCCACCAAGGGCTTCTGCGAGGCGCGGACACCAAACTGGCTGCACGGTGGGCAGCAGGGATGCTCGAGGCCCTGAAAACTCAGCCCGAGCGAAGGCTGAGGCTCGGCACGGCAGTGTAAGCTCTCCCCTTGTTCCCCGAGGACAAGGCAGGCTCCTCACCCGAGCAAGTGGAGTTGGACTCGTCCTCGTTGTTCCCGCAGTCGTTGTCCCCATCACAGAGCCAGCGGTTGGGGATGCAGCGGTTGTTCTTGCACTTGAAACGGTCTGAGGGGCAGGTGTGCTGGTCTGCAGGGAAGACACTGCTCAGGACCTGCCCTTCGCCATCCCACCCCCATGCCTCCTCCATGGCTGGCAGAGATTAAAACTGGGACAGAAAAGGGCAGGGAGCCTCAGGAAAACTGGGGATCCAGGATCCTAATCACCATTTTCCCCCCTCAACCCCTCGAGCCCGCTCCCCTCCTAGAGCTGGGGAGGGGGTGCAGGGGTCCTGGCTGTTCAACCCTGACCCAGCCACCGGCCCCACATCTGGGGGAAACGTAGCCCGAATCCTGCCACCCCAGGAGGGCTAAAGCTGCTATCCCACCACGCAGGAGGTGGCTACGCACGGCAGAGCTCGGGGGCTTCGTCGCTGTTGTCCAGGCAGTCGTTGTCCCCGTCGCATTTCCAGCGCTCCTGGATGCAGCGGTTGTTCTTGCAAGCAAACTCCCCGGGCTGGCACTGCGGGGGCGGGATGTAGGACGGGTTGGCTGGCAAGGGAAAAGCAAAGGGGGGGATGATTTTAACAGAGTGACCAAGTGCAGGGTAGCAGCAAGGACAGTCCTGTGTCCCTGGGCTAGGAGGATGGACGCAACTGCCCAGCCACCCTGAGAGCGTACCCAGACCCTCGTGCCCACGTGCACCAGCTCCTGAGCACAAAAGGAGAAGATGCTGCTTGGGGTCAAGAGGGAGAGACCCCGGCTCGGCACGCACACACGGGCTGTGCCAGCAGAGCTTCTCCCCTCTTGTTTAAGTTGGCGAAGGACTGTGCAGCCCAGGCTCCCAACCCTGAACCCAGCTCTCCCCCACGCTGGCAGCAGAGCGGAGCTGCTCCGACTACGTGGGCAGCATCCCACACGGCTGCACAGCGCAGCAATCCCAACCAGGGATTTCCACCTGCTTCCCTGGGCAGGCGGCTGTCCCGCTGCAAGAGTAGGAACTGGAGCCGGTAACCAACTCCCACAGGTGCAGGGAGCACCCACCTCTCCAAGCCAGCCCCCCACCGCATGAGGCATCACTGCTGATGTGCCAGAGAGGAGCCCCAGACCCCATGTCCCCACTCATCCCTTGGGAAAAGGGGGTCCCTGTCAGGAACCAGCCCCAAGGCAGCCTACCCTGGCAGGTGACGGAGTCGGATCCCAGGATCTGGTCCTCGGCACAGGCACACTGGCGGCCCCGGGGGGTGGCCAGGCACAAGCTGCTGCAGCCGCCGTTGTTCACGCGGCACTTGTTGGAGCCCACTGTGGAGACAAGGCAGGGGGTGAGGAGAAGGGTACTTCAGCGCTCAGGGAACAACGTGGGGGGCTGCTGGGTGCCCCTGGCCCCTGGGACTCCCTCAACAGGCTCCACAGTTGGAATACAGCTGGAAACCCCAGTTTTATCAGGCCATGCCAGGCAGTTGGGACCCCTCAGGGGACACAAAGCCTGGCAGGGAGGGAGGGGGGAAGAGAGGAAAGGCTGGAAGGGCAGGGGATGAGTGATAGCAGGGTTTATGGAAAGACAGGGTGCATAGGGATGGACAGACGGGCAGGGAGATGGCCAAATGGAAGCAAAAAGAGGCACAGCCTCAGCCCCCATTCCCCAGTCCCACTGCTCTTCCAGCGCCCCCCCCATTCCCTCGTGCACGGCAGGTCCCCATGGTGCCAGGCACCTTGCTGCTGCTGCGCGTCGTACATCCGAATCTCGAAGATGGGCGGGCGCTCATTCCGGAGCAGGCTCACCACCTTGGAGGCCTGGTCCAACCGGTAGATGCTGCCGCTGCGGTACTCGGTCCAGAAGAGGAAGCTGCTGTAGTGGCAGAGCCCGAAGGCGTGATTCAGCTCCGGTCCCTCATACACGATCTGCAGGCACAGAGGCGGAGAGGCTCGTCGTTAGATGGTTCCCCTGGGGAAATCCCACACAGGAGGACAGGGCAAGGGACGGAGGAAAGGGAGAGGAGGGGATGGGCAGCAGGGGAGCGTGGCTGAATGTGGCCAGCCACCCACCAAGCAGACCCACAGCCAAAGCAACAGCTCGGCTGCCCACCGTCCCCGCGCAGGGGCGATCAGCGTCCGAGAGCCCTCCACTTGCCTTCCGCTCGGTGCCGTTGAGGTAGACCATCTCGATGCGGTCATAGAAAGCATCCACCCAGTAAAGGATCTTGGCTGGGATGTCCAGGCTCAGCCCGTTGGGCCACAGGACGGTCTTGGAGGTGATGAAGACGTTGCGGTTGGAACCGTCCATCCAGGCTCTCTCGATCTTGCCCCTCTTGCTGTCCTTGGGATCCTCCTCCCAGTCCGTCCAGTACATCCACCTGCCAGAAACTAAGCTGTTAGGGACCAGCCGGGCT